GTAAGAAAGTGAATTATCACGCAAATTATTAAGTATGTCTACAGCTGATCTAAATTCATTATACTCGTCAAATACAATAGGTCGACAAAATGTTGTATTGCTATAACCCTTAATATATCGATTCACTTCTGTTCCGAGCATTGTCGTAGAATAACTGGCAAGAAGTACAATATTTTTGCGGTTACGAATTGAGCATACAGTTAAATCAACATTATTTATTTTGGAAATTCGACTAACAAATGATCCATATGTGTCTTCAAGTACATCTGTAATATCACTAGGGATATTCTTAGGCCAATAATGACGCTTCTTTATTTGTAAAATAGAATAAAGACCATGGTTATATAAAGTAATGCATGTATCTATGCTACCAAATCACGAATCAGCGATAATTGTTCTACCACTACAAAACCATAGTTCTACTAATCTTAACATAGATGCAACAGTTGCTGGGTATTGATCTGAAAATTTTTTTTTTATAGCACATTCTGAAGGTTCTGCTAGGTCTAATCTTAAGAACAAATTAATTTGAGCATCTGCAAGAGCTTTGAATTCACATCTAATTGGATGCGGCTTTCTCAGTATTTTTCGTTAAAATGGACCTTTATCAACTTTGCCCATCCATTGGCACATTGATTTATCCATGCAAAGGTAAGGACCAGGTAGGATAGCTTTTGTAAGATTTTCGTTAAATTCATTATGAAACTGCCATGCAAAATGAAAGGAATCATCATTTGCTAATATATCTGTTAATGTCAAATATTTTATGATATTTCAAAATCATTGATGTGACATATATTGACCAAATGCTAGCGAAACTCCAGCTGTTTCTTGTTTAATGGACCAATAATCACAAATATCAGCACATTTTACATACGTCATAATCATTAAAATGCTAATAAATCTCATAAATTCCATTCATGTTAAATCACTCTACTCACGTTCACATTCACGCGCACTCTTATTTGTAGATGGAATTATCACTGATATTATAAAATCAACAGGTATAAACCGCTCAAAAAATTGTCTGAGTGTTGCTTTAAAGATATCAGTAATGTGTACAACTGGTGTGCTAGAATAGGAGCGGGACACTTGGCAAGGATCAATAATAACAACTTTATTGGTCCATCGTACGTTATTAACATTACTAACGTTTATGACTTCTCCATCTTCAGAACTATCATCAGTATTACTTGAAATATCCATTTCACTATTCATTTCGCTATCACTTGTTCTCTCTTCGTCATCCGTATTTTGATCAGTATCTGAGCTAGTTGTGGAAAAAGCCACAAACTTCATACGGCCTGATGAGACCTCAATTTCATTTTCTGGTTGTGAATTAAGACAAATTATCCAGCGGTTATTACCTGGTGCTACTCGTAGAACTGTTGCTGAAAGTCGTTTAGTCTTTCATAATTCTCCAAAAGTGGTTGAGCGATGTTTTCACCTACAACAGAACCCAAAACAGAAACCTTGACGCCTTTTCTAATATTCGGAGAAATCCGTCCAATTTTAAAGGTTAGATAAAGAAAGAAAAAGTTCAATGAGAAAAGAACTTCTATATTCCCATACATACCTTACACTAAGAAATATTCACATTTCACATTTATTTTGCAGCCGGTTTCAATTTACATTGAGAAATCAACTTATTTATTTACTGCCTCATATGTACAAATCATGTATATAATGCCTACTTACTTAATATTTTAACCTTTTTTAAAGACAACTATTGTTTGTACCCCTAATTTTGTTAGCTATATCCACTGTCAACCGAAATCTAACCAGAATTATATAGTCATGTAATTGATTTTTTACCCAATGAACAAATTTAGAGGCACAATTAACAATTTTCTTTTTTAGATAAATAGATTTACACAGTGTACTCCATACATGATTTTGCCTCACGTATAACTCTGATGAGCCTATGATTTTTATTACAGAGATCCCCTGACATAAGTATATTGCTAAATAAATTTTGAATCCTGTTATCTATTTTAAATTGGTAGAAATTTCAGTTTATTTTCTGTCATAATTTAGTACAATGTACTAGATTTAGTACAGGTAAATCCAACCCATTAATGATTAAATTATTTTATCAAAATGTTTTAATTATTATTTAATCATTGTTATATTTTCCTTTTTAGTTTTTTTTTAAGTTTTTTTTTAGCATATCTAATTTAAGTTTATTACACATATTATTATAATTAATAATTTTATTTTTATTTATTAATTTATTCTGTCCAATTTATATTATATTGAAGCTGATCATTTTTCTATTATTCTATTTATCATTTATTTATAGATCATTTGCAAATTTTTCTTCTATTATATTATAATTTTTTATTTTATTTAAAAAAATTCTTAAATTGATTTTTAATTTCTTTAATAAAAATAAAAGATAGATTATGTATAAGATTATTAGATAAAACTTAAAGGTTTTGTAAATCATTTAAATTGAAAATTTTAAAATTTAGTGAAAATTATATTAAAATCTTATTAAAAATCTATGAAATTCTAGAAAAGATAAAACTATTTCAAAGCTTATAAAAATATAAAACTATATTAAAACTTATATAAAAAATTAGTAAAACTAAAGTTTAAATATTTTGTCAAATCAAAAATGAATTTAGACAAATAATCTTAATTATATATAATTATAAGATTTTTATATATTAGTATCTTAAATTGTTAAGTGTATAAAATTCTTATTATATTATTTTGTAGATAAAATCTAAATTAATATTACAAATTTATTTAAAATATTTTATAAAAATATATAAAAAAATAATTTATTTTATAATTTTTAATAAAAAAAAATTAATATATAATAATAAATAAAATTTATTGTAATTTAATAAGAATTTTAAAATTTATGTTAAACTTTGTGTAAAATAATTTCAAAATATTTGTAATAAATTTAAATACTTAATATAGATTTAAAAGTCTAATTAATAGAAATTCTTTAAAGTTTTTTTTTATCATTTATAAAATCTAAAAAGTATATCTAAAACTCATATTGTTATTATAGAATTCTTTAACTCGGGTGATTACATTCTTAAGTTTTACTTAAAGTTATTAATTAACAGTAGTTAAGACATTAAAATCTATTTAACTCTTAATTTTACCAAATTTATGTACTAAACTTAAACAAATTCATCAAGTATAAAGATTTGAAAAAAATACTACAAATAAATTTAATTAAAGAATTCAAATAATAAACTCAATTATAAATAATGTGTATAGATCATATTAGATTATATAAAGATAAAAAAGGTAAAAATATATTAGTTTTAATTACTTCCTTTATTAATATTGAAATTTATATTGTAAAAAAGTTAATTTATAATATAAGTAAAAATCTACCTATTTATACAAAATTTCTTTTATTATAACTAATTTATTACTATATTATAAACTAATTAATTTGATAGATAAAATATAAGTAAACTAAAGATAATAAAAATAATTAATAAAATAAAATAATAATAAAAGTGAAATATTAAGAATAGTGGGATACCACATGTAATATAAATTATATTATATGTGATATCCCACTTACCCTAGATTATAGTATCATATATAATCTAAATATCACATATAATTTAAATAATATAATCTAATTACCACATATAATCTAAATGCTGTGATCTAAATACCATATATAATCTAACACTTTTATTATTTTTTTTATATCTATTTATGTTCTAGCTATATCTTTAAATCTTTCTTGATATTTATATTTTTTATGTTAATATATTTTTTTATTACTACAATATAATCTAATTTCCATACACATATAATCTAAATACTACGCTAAAATTGGCAGAAACTGACAGACCTGTCAAATATGACATATATGCCATATCTGTCAAATAGAACACATATATTATTTATTATATTTTATTATATTTATTATTATTATTATTTATTATATATTTAACATAATTAGCATATCTGTTAGCTCTATTATTATTGTCAATAGTATTATTAATACTATAGATTTTCTTTAATTGTAATTTTCTTATATAAAAGGCATGAAAATACCTTAAAAAAAGAACAGATTCTAATATTGTATTCAATCTACCTTTAATAATAATAATAAATAACATTAATATTTTTACAAATATAATACTTATAATTTTATTCTTGTTAACTAAATAAACTCTCTAATTAATAGCATGTCAAGTTGATTGGATTTAAGTCAAAGCTAT